ACAGGACTACACAAATCAACACATAGCCTGTTCCTCCAAGCAAAGCCCACCTACTTGACAGGGAGGCATCTTGCACACCTTTCCACGGTACCCACTACTCAATAATACAGGGAGTGGGTCCAATCTTACCCTCAGACACCACCTAATGCCTCAGAAACTAAACAAGGTGTGTGAATACCCAAACAATAACTAAAAGAGAGAACAACAACTGATCGACAGTGGCGAGGAAATCAGTGAAAGAACTCAGGAAATATGAAGAACGAAACGGAAACACACCCCAAAGAGGAGCACCAGCCCCCTAGAAACGGACACCAACAAAATCAGCATCCAATATGACAGAAGAGGATTTTCATATGTGGATCATAAGAACACTCACCCAGCTGCAACAACAACTGAATAACGAACACAAAGAACTACAAAAGCCTCCAGGATATGAAAAAGAATAGACACAATGAAGAAAAGTGTAACCGAACTCCTGGAAATGAAGAATCAATTCAAGGAAATACAAATAAGTGGAAAGTCTCAAGAACAGGGTAGAGTCAAACAGAAGAAAGAATCTCAGAGAGTGAAGATAACACCCTCCAATTAAATACAATCAGTCACAGAAATAGAGCAGAGAAACAAGGAGAAACAGGAGCAAGGCTACAAGAGCTGGTGGGAGTTATGTGAAGAAACCTATATTGTGAGGGTCATAGGCTGTACCAGAATGGGGAAGAAGACAACACTCAAGGGTTGGAAAAGTGTTTGAAGATATAAAGAGGAAAGAATTTCCCAGGCCGTTGCTCAAATCTTTGATATAGCAAGTTCATGAAGCTCAGAGACCCCTGGCGAGATTCAATGCAAACAGGAAAGACGTCACGACATGGCAGTATCCAGACTTGACCAAAGTATCAACTAAAGAGGCCTTCTAGAGCGATGCTAAGACAAAAGACGCAAGTAATACGAAGGGAAAGCCAATTAGAATAACATCAGCTTCTCTAATGAGACTTTACAAGCAAGAGAACTGCGCCCATTCTCACTCTTTTTGAAACAAACAATGCCCAGCTAGATATATTCCCTGGCAAAAGTAAGTTCGTATATGAAGGAAATAAAACACATTCTCATACAAGCAAAGGCTCAGAGAATTCACCAAGACAAGACCACGCCTGACAAGAAGTATTAAAACAGAGTGTTTATCGCACGGAACATTCATATAATAACCCAAGAATAAAAAACAACGCAAAACCCAAAGATATTAAGGCCAGATATTACAATGGCTCAAGACAAGAAGTCATAGGCACAACATCCAATCCAACAGAATGACAGCAATCTACCTTACTATCAGGTTCTCTCAATAAATGGTGAATAGGCTTAACTCTTCCACTTCAAAGAGACATAGGCTGGCTGGAATGGATAAGAAAATACAGGCCAATATCATGCTGTCTTCAGGAAAACATCTAACGCTGCAAGGATGCATATAGACTAAAATAAAAGGGTGGAGTCAAATTCCAGCAATGAAGCCAAAAGGAAGGGCTGGGGTGTGGCAGTTCTAATTTCAGACATTACGTTTTTAAACAACAAAAGTAGTACAAAGACAAAGAGGGTCATCATTACATGGTGAAGGGTACAGTTCACAAGAAGAGATAACAATTTTAAATATACTAAATGCACCCAACTTAGGATAGAACACCAGATTCATAAAGCAAACCTACTGGAGCTAAGACAAATAGATTTGAATAGCACACTCACATAACCCCGGAGATTATCAACACCCCACTGATAAGGCACCGAGACAGATCTCCAAACGAAAATTAATAGAATAATGGACTAAAATAACAACTCGTAAGAACATTGGCGGATCTGACTGAAACATTTAACAGACTCAGACTTTTGGGGGAGGGGGGGAAATGGGCATTTATTGAAACCTTAAAATCTGTACCCCCATAATATGCCGAAATAAAAAAAAAATAAAAATAAAAAAGAAATGAGAGATCACCCCAATGGCTTGTAGAACTTGGCAATGGACTTTTAGTTGTCTTCAAGCTGGGAGGGAACTGCCTTCCCTTGGCCCTGATTCTCCGGACAGGACATGCCACAGGGGAGAGAGGCACAGGCCCCACAGCATCCATGCTCTAGGATGTCATTTAAGGATGATGTGCTGCAAGGCTACCAGCTGTCATGACAGGAATGGGTGGAGGTGGCCCTCAGGCATTGGGCCTGAGAGCAGGACAAGTTCAGTCTTGCAGTAGCTGAGGTGTTGTTTTAGGTGGATTCAGTGACCTGCAGGAAGGTTACTTCAGTGGTTTGCATCCTCATGGCTTGTGAACACACAGGGCCAGCCTACCCACAGGGTCTTGGTTCAGTAGGTCTGGGGTGGGGCCTGATAGTTTCTATCTAACAAGCTCTTGGTGGTACTGAGGCTGTGGTTTCCTGGTGGTTGGACCTTCTCCAAATGGGTGGAGGATCAAGATAGGTCTGGGTCAATAATTCAGAGAAATACAAGGAGTGGCAGGGAGGACATGTGCTGGTGGCTTAGGGTCTGCGTGCAGGGCTCCCCTAACCTCTTCCTAGTTAACACTGCCTTGTCTCAGACTGCTTCCCTGATCGTTCTGCTCTGATTTCCACCTGGGTCCAGTTTGCTTGCAGCCCCACGCCCCTTCCATAATAACCTGTACCTTCCTTTTTGGAGCTTGGAACAGTTTGAATTATTTTTTGGTCTGGCTCTACTAGAATGTCTGCTTCAGGCAGGCAGGGGCTGTGTCTGTTTCATTTACCACCAATGCTCAGCACAGGGCCCAACGAAGACATGTGCACTGAACAAGTGAACAGAAGAGTGGAGCTCCCCTGGGATGTAGAAGATAGGACTGGATTGTACAATCTGGAGTTTGACGAGGGACATCTCTGGCCCAGACACTGGCCAGCCTGTGTGACCACGGCCTGCTGGCCTTCCACATTCGGGCCAGCACTGTCGTCCCATCAGCCCTGGGAGCGCCCAGCTAAGCTGATCTTCCCACCTGTGCCTGGCCTCCTCCTTCCCTCTCACCGCCTCTTGCACATCAGGTGCAGAGCTCTGACTCCCTTCCAGGGGCTTCCATTTAAGGCTTCATGTCTTGCCTACAGCTCTGTGACTGCTTGGGCCTGTGCTGCCTCCTATGTGGTCTCCCAAGTGCAGGAGGGTGTTCAGATGGTTTTGATTCTTGCCCTCCAGTGTCTAGGAGATAGAAGTGCATCTCCCTTAGCCTGGCATTTTCAGCCTGACCAGCCTCCCATCCCAAACCAGGCCAGTCACTTCTGTACCCCACTAAATCTAAGACACATCACTTTATGGGCTGCTGGGAAACACAACATGCCATTAACTAAACTACGATAAGCCATTGCCTATGAGACTCTAACTTCTTTAGCCTGAAATGCCAGCCAGGGGTCTGCATCCACTGTTCATCCATCCTTCAAGGTCCAGCTCGATGCATCACCTCCTCCAAGCAGGTCTCCTTCCTCTGAACTCACATCACTCCGTCTTACATCATTTTCTGCTTGTTAGTACAGGGGCTTGGGGACGTGCCCTAACTGCATTACTCTGCGTTTCTTAGGGGCAAAGAACATGTCTTATTTATGTTTATACCCCCTGCCCCACCAGCCCGGCATCCTTCCTCTGTCAGAGGTGATCTTCCCAAGACACAAACTGCCCAGTGTGGCAGCACCTCCACTGCATTTCAGTCTCCCCAGCTGCCTCCTCATCTCTTTCTCTTGAAGAGAAAACAGAACTCTTTAAGATTACAGATATGTCATTAGTCTGAGAAGAAATCAGGTCCTGCAAGCAGAATATCACCAGAAAGTAGAAAAAAACCAGAATTAATAGTATGTGTGCTATGCCCTTTGGAATCTGACCTGAAGGATTCTGTGAGTGTGAGCTGCAGGGAAGTGGCCCTTTCTGCATCATCTCGCGGAGTTTCTGTCCAAACTCTTTTGGCTGGCCGGGTGCGGTGGCTCACGCCTGGAATCCTAGTACTCTGGGAGGCTGAGGCAGGTGGATTGTTTGAGCTGAGAGCAGCCTGAGCAAGCATGAGACCCCATCTCTACTATAAATAGAAAGAAATTAGCTGGCCAACTAAAAATACATAGAAAAAATTAGCCATGCATGGTGGCTACCTACTGTAGTCCTAGCTACTCGGAAGGCTGAGGCAGGAGGATCACTTGAGCCCAGGAGTTTGAGGTTGCAGTGAGCTAGGCTGACCCCACAACATTCTAGTCCAGGCAACAGAGTAAGCCTGTCTCAAAAAAACAAAAAACAAACTCTTTAGGCTGATTGTCACCCAGCTTTTGGCTTATATCTACGCCACTGGGCTGGATCACCACCTTGCCACTAAAAACAACAACAGAACTCTGTTGATAAAGAGAAATGTTTTATGAAAACACAGTGCAGGCGGGTGCACCAACAGTTCCTGAAAGAGAACTTGGAAGCCTAAGGAGTTGAACAACCAGCAGTCTTTTTTTAATCCCAGGGACGGGGAAGATTATAGTCATTTAAGTTTCAAGTTTTTGCTCTAAACTCAATGTTTTTTTTTTTTTTATTTCGGCATATTATGGGGGTACAGATTTTAAGGTTTCAAGAAATGCCCATTTCCCCCCTCCCCCCAAAAGTCTGAGTCTCCATCATGACCATCCCCTAGATGGTGCACATCTCACTCATTATGTATGTATATGCTCTCCCCCCTCCCACCTGCCCAATACCCTATTACTGTAGTACCTATGTGTCCACTTAGGTGCTACTCAGTTATAAACTCAATGTTGATATGAAATGTACATTTGAAATCCCACCCTTGTGTTTACAATGTCTGCATCCTACCAGGGTATTTTTAAGATGTGGTTCCTTGAACAGGTATGGTGGCTTCGTTCTAGTATCGGTTTGCATGGAATCAGATGGCTTGTTTCTTCCTACCACTTCCTCAAGGTCATTGGAATGAAATGGGTGACTTCAAAGGTGGTCTTTGTGATAAGGAACACAGAAAAGAGGGGACTGAGGGAGAGAACAAAAAGTCAAAAAAACATGAAGCTGCCTGCTTTAAGAAACCCAAATGTAATCCTGTCAAGGAGGAAATGCCATGGCAGGGGCAGGGTGTGCTCCCATCTAACTAGAAGGAGCTTTCTGAGCATAAGCTGAGAAGAAACTCATTTGAAGGATGTTAGTTCATTGGTCCACAGGGGCACAGTTATTGGCTGGAGACCGTGGTGAGGATGCCCAATCTCCACGTGGCTCATTTGACTTTCCGGAGGTGGTGAAAGCTCTGCACGGTCCTCTCCACAGCATCATCCATGGTGACCAGTGGCCGGTAGCCCATGGCCTTTTTGGCTCTCTCACAGCTATAGTAGTGGAATGTCCCAGCTAGTGCAACCCGCATTGGGGTGAAGGTGGGCTGGATCTGGATGACCGGACTGAGCACCACCACCAGCAGGGACAGCAGGAAGGCCAGGTAGTAGGCCAGCCAGTAGGGGATGTGGTACTTGGGGGCCTCGTAGTTGAGGCCTGTCAGGATGCGGGACAGGAACGTCCAGAAAGGGATGGGTTCATCATTGGTGATGTGAAATGCCTGGTGAGAGAACAAGAGAGAACAAGAAGTTAGAAACACAAGCTGTAGGCTCAGCCCAGAGACCCAGAACGAATACTATGGGAAACTGGTAGCCATCCCTGCCTGCCTGCCCCAGCTTTTCTGCAAGGCAGCTCAAAAGTGAGGTATATATGAAGCTTGTGCAGACTGCACCCTCACGTGCCTGACTTCTGCAGCATTTCATGTGGTCTGCCCTCCACCCTGCAAGTGGGCAGCATCAATGTGTAGAGAGGGAAGGTGATGAGAGTTTTATCTATGGGCAAGGATTTTTCTTTTTTTTTTTTTTTTTGAGACAGAATCTCACTTTGTTGCCCAGGCTAGAGTGAGTGCCGTGGCATCAGCCTAGCTCACAGCAACCTCAAACTCCCAGGCTCAAGCAATCGTACTGCCTCAGCCTTCTGAGTAGTCTATAGCTGGGACTATAGGCATGCGCCTCCATGCCTGGCTAATTTTTTCTATATATATTAGTTGGCCAATTAATTTCTTTCTATTTATAGTAGAGACGGGGTCTCGCTCTTGCTCAGGCTGGTTTTGAACTCCTGACCTTGAGCAATCCGCCCGCCTCGGGCTCCCAGAGTGCTAGGATTACAGGCGTGAGCCACCGTGCCTGGCCAGGAAGGCACATTTGTTAATTTAATAATTGTTAGTCATGGTAAAACTCAACTTCTTATCTCAGGGTGCAATGAATGGGTCATATAACATTTCTTGAATGTGCTGTGTTTGTTCTAAATCAGAAGCCACACCTCCCCCCTATCCCATGCACTCTGAAAGTTATGACTGGGAAAGTGACAGAGGCCCAGAGGAATAAAAGAGGATCCAGCAGCGAGGGGGCTTCCAAAGCCAGGGCTGAGAAATGAAGAGGATGGGGCCCTTGAAGGGGGAGGAAAACGTGAGGGGGACCCACATGTCGACCCTGCTGCAGAGACGGCCCCCATCCCAGCCCTGCTCCGCCCACCAGTTGCCAAACACCAGCAGATTCCAATATATCACCCCTCTGGAGGGCGAGAGGCGACAGGGGAAATGGAGACCTGAGGAACAAGTGGGAGCAAGGGTGAGCCATGGGACCCTGCCCCAAGTAGCCACAGCAACAGGTGGGGAGTCAGGTCACGGTCAAGGGAAAGTCATGTCCTGAATCTGTTCAATCCCAGCTCATCGGCTCCCAGATTCTGGCTGCCCCGAGTGCTGTGACACTACAGACATACCATAATTCCTATTAGAGGGGCTTGACCTCAGCACACGGGGGTCCTAAAGTGGACCCTCCATGATGCAGGATCACAGGGGCAATTTGCCTGCAAATCCACAGCAGGGAAGAGAAACTTGAAGGGAAGCACCCATGCAGGGGCAGGACGTGGGGAAATGGGCACCTTACCTTCCCGCCCAGGGTTGTGTCTCGGGAGAGGTGTTCTGCAGCCAGGATATGTCCATGGACCACATTTTCCACGAAGGTGAAGTCCACCAAGTTCTCCCCATTTCTACAGGTGCACAAGGAACAATTCAATTCATGCTGGGTGCACTCAGCTGCAAGTGTCAGCATTTGAGACACTAACTGCAGAATGGCTGCCATCTGCCTTGGCAGTGCCAGCCCCCAGCACACATGGATGCCTGTACTGGTTAAAGATGTGCACTGGGCCAGGACTTCTGGGGTCCCCAGGGGTAGTGGAATATCTAAGGTCCAACCAGTGAATCTGAAAGCTTGGTGTCCCGCCCAGTCCATCCTAACGTGGCCAACACTGGTGCTGATTGCTCTGGCTCTGACATGGGCGGCAGCTCTTCAATCCCTTCTCACAATACACTGGGCCAGTGCCTTTCTCTGGCCTCACATTTTCTAACCAGTTGCTCTGTAGTCTCTCAAAGTAGCAATGAGGCTGAGTAAGGAATGAATGGGAAGGTCAAGTGCAGGGCAAAGACAGGGAAAGAAAGGGAGGAGAAAGAAGAAGGAAATGAAGGAAGAGAAGGTGTATTTGGGAGACAGCTGCACTCTGTGGTCACCTGCAGAGGCCCCTCTACCTGCACTTTCCTCAAGGAGGAACGTAAAGCCCCCACCTGTCTTCCTAGATGCAAGGAGAACTGAGCCCTTGACCCTGGGCCTATCAATTCCCCTCTGAGCCTCGGTTTCCTCATTTCCAAATGGGGTCATAAATATTCTCCCAGCCTATCTGAGAGGGTGTACTGGGTTGGAGAGTGTCCTACCAAAACTCAGGTTCCCCTGGAACCTGAACGTGACCTCATTTGGAAATAGGTCTCTGGTGATGTAATTAATTAAGCTGAGGTCATACTGGAGTAAGGCGGGCTTTAAATCCCATAACTGATGTCCTTATAAGATGGAAATTTGGACATAGAAATCAATGAACGCCAAGGATTGCCAGCAAACTGCGGAATCCACAAGAGGCCTGGAACAGCTTTTCCCTCAGCATCTCCAGAAGGAGCTAACCCTGCCAACGTCTTCATTTGGGACCTCTGGCCCTCAGAAGTGTGGGAGAATCAATTTCTATTGCTATCAGCACTACGTGTGTGCTAATTTGTTATGGCGGCTGTAGGAAATGAATACAGACCACAATAAAGAAGGTCACTGCTACGGTCTGAATGTTTGTGTCCCCGAATGTGCAACTGCATTGAGATGTGGGGCCCCTGGGAGGTGATTAGATCATGGGGGCTCTTCTCTCATGAATGGGATTAGTGCTCTGATAAAAGAGGTCCAAGGGAGCCTGTCTGCCCTTTCACTGTGTGAGGACACGTAGCAGGTGCCACCTATGAGGAATGGGCCCTCACCAGATACCCAACCTGCTAAAGCCTTGATCTTGGACTTCCTAGATGTTTTGCTCCAGAACTGTGAGCAAAACATTTCTGTGGCTTATAAATTACCCAGTCTCAGGTATTTTGTTATAGCAGCACAAATGGACGGAGACAGTCACATCAAAAAAGAGCTACAAAGCTGTGTGGCTACTTGCAAGGTGCTCTGTGACCTTGCAGGGATTGAGGAGGGGTGTGGAAGAGCCACTGTGGGCTGACTTACCCAATCATAAACTTCATCTTGCCGTTCCTGGCTGCTTCGATGAGGATGGGGACCAACTGGGGATCCCTTGGACCAAAAATGCCATGAGGGCGGATGGCTGCGGTGAAGAAATTCTTCTCAGGGTCATTGGCGTCCAGCACTACCTGGAGGAGAGAAGGAGCATGTTCGCCGTAAACCTGTCAGCCAGAGCCAGGACAGTTCCTCACTGGGTGAGCAGCATCTGCCATGGGGGACAGACAGATGATTGGTATACTTCTGGGCTACCTCTCTATTTCACCCACCCCCAACCCACATCTGAAAATGCAGGAAGGACAGCCGGTGTAGACCAGTAGGATCAAACAGAAAGGCCTGGGTGTGGGTCCAAAGGCTAAAATGTGCAAATGCAGCCAGAAGATGAGCCTTGGCAGCGGTCTGCAGCAAAGATCAGAGGATTCTGGTTACTGAGTTAGTTGTAAGCCTCCAGTGAGCTGCTGCCACCAAAGGGGTCTTGACTTAAGCTGTGTGTGTGTGGCTGCATGTCCCCACCAGGCCTGGGCTGCTTCAGGAAAGGCCTCTGACCAAGTCCAGTGGGCCAGAAGAAGGTCTGAGAAGGGAAGAGGCTGAAGACCAGGCCCCGGGAGAGGCAGGGCAGTGGCAGCTCTTATTCTTGTTAACATTGTCGGGAAGACATAAAAGATGTCCTCTGCGTGGCTTGCTGTACAAACTAGAACTCAAGAGCCTGAAAACAGATTTGCCTCAAAGTAACAAAACAAAGGATTTGTGTATGTCAGTAAAAATGCAGATCATAAAGGTGCTAACCCTGACAGGGACGCCATGTTGGTTACTTCAGTAAGGTGAGTCTTATTACTGTGGTATCATGTCATTGAGGCTTTCTACTTTATGGTGGCAAAATGCTTGCACATGTTTTGGTCCCAGCAATAATTTTAAGCTACTTGTTGACTGAGTTTGTAATAATCAGAGCCGCCCCTCCTCTGGTCCCCATGGTAGTAGAGGAAATGACTAAATAAGCCTTCAAACGACCTCTACCAAGGTTCGTCTTTATGTCTAAAGGGAAGAGAGTTGAACTTACATTTCCTTTATTATCAGTACAGTGGTTTTAAGGTGCTGACCTTGGCTAAAGGGAGGCTGCAGGTGACCGACTACCAGGGTCATCTGCAAGCTTTGCTTCTTTCCAGTTGAGCACTCAAACGTCGGTGAAAGCGAGACACTAGTGGTTGGAGCCACGGCTGTCATCTGAAGCTCCTGAGCCTACATGGGCTCAGCCACGGTGCCATCCTAGGCACCTTGGGTAAGAGCGCACAGGGTCTCCATGGTGACTGAACATCTTGCAGGGCCCAGTGGAGACTTTAGTGCTCCTTGGACCAAGACTGAGCATAGTCTGGAGATAAGACAGGACTCTGGCTTGCCAAAGGCTAGGCCTCTGCCCCCTGGTTTGGGGTGGCCCTCATGCCTCCTTGTGGACCGGTTCTGCTGGGACTTTCTGAGCTGGAGCTATAGCAAACAGTCGAGAGGCAGCTGGCTCTCAGGCAGCACAGGGGGACACGTGCCACTCGGGTGCTCAGCTCCAGTTCAGTAAGTACTGGCTTTGAAAGGAAACCTCAGTGAGTAAAATATGCTGCAAACAGCTGGGAGAGGTGAACTCAGCTACCCAGCTAAGGCAAGTTGTCTGGGGCTCAGGAGACCCCTGGCCTACAGGTTAGGATGGCCTCAGGGCAGTGTCCTCCACCAGGAGCTAGCAGCTGTCGGCTACAGCCCTGCAGCCTGAAGGCTCAGAGGCTATCACTCAACCCCCTAAAACCAGGTGTCCCCTGATGCAGCTGGTTTGCCAAGTGGAAAAGAATTTTTCCTTAAAACAAAGCAAGATCCTTCCATTGTTTACTTTTTTTTTAAAAAAGGAGGGGATAAGAGTGCCATGAGGAAGGTGCATGGAGCCTGAGTCCTGCCTGCATACTTGTGGTTGCCGTTCAATTCCCACAGCATGCGAGGAAGCTCATGTGGCAAAAAGTGTGGGCTCTGGGGACAGACTGCCTGGGGCAGCCACCTGCTAGCTGCATGGCCCCAGAAGTTTCTGAATCTCTCTGTGCACAAGTCTTCATCTGTAATTTGGTGGCGGTGGGATTGTTGTGAAGTTTAAACATGGAAAATCCCCTCGGAAAATATTCAGAATCTGGCCACATTAAGCTATTCTGATAATACTATTAAAATTTAATTTTACCCACAAATTTTACTTCCCAATTATATACTCAGGTCTCAGAATATTAATATCATAAGTTCATAAAGGTTTTCCTTAAGAATCTAAACCCGTCAGACGTCCACACACTGAAACAGTTCTAAGTACATACTCTCTCCTGTAAGATCTTAGTCTCTGTGTAGTAATCAATGGGTTTCATGGCATAGGGGAGGTCTTCGGTTCCATTCTTGATGTCGATGCCCTCAAAGATGACACTGGCACTACTGGTTAAAATGAGTTTCTGGCAGAGGAAGATTAAAAAAATACCAGTCAGGCATTATAGCTGTTCAAACAGTCTTATGAGCCTGTGTGAAAGAGAACCACATGGCATCTCTTTGCTACCCTTGCATTTGAGGCCCTGCACAAATTATCTGCTGCAATGCCTTTGCCTTTCATGCGCTTTTTTTTTTTTTGAGACAGAGTCTCGCTTTGTTGCCCAGGCTAGAGTGAGTGCCGTGGCGTCAGCCTAGCTCACAGCAACCTCAAACTCCTGGCTCAAGCAATCCTCCTGCCTCAGCCTCCCAAGTAGCTGGGACTACAGGCATTTGCCACCATGCCCGGCTAATTTTTTGTATATATTAGTTGGCCAATTAATTTCTTTCTATTTATAGTAGAGACGGGGTCTCGCTCTTGCTCAGGCTGGTTTCGAACTCCTGACCTTGAGCAATCCGCCCGCCTCGGCCTCCCAGAGAGCTAGGATTACAGGCATGAGCCACCGCGCCCGGCCTATGCGTTCTTAAAGTTATCCAAAGATCACCATCTTTTGTAGCTGTGTGGATTCTAGACACATTATGATATTATATTCTAAAACAGCAGATCTCACATTTTTTCTTTTTTCTTTTTTTTTGAGACAGAGTCTCACTCTGTTGCCTGGGCTAGAGTGCCATGGCATCAGCCTAGCTCACAGCAACCTATCCTCCTGCCTCAGCCTCCCAAGTAGCTGGGACTACAGGCATGCACTGCCATGCCCAGCTAATTTTTTCTACATATTTTTAGTTGGCCAACTAATTTCTTTCTATTTTTAGTGGAGATGGGGTCTAGCTGTTGCTCAGGCTGGTTTCGAACTCCTGACCTCGAGTGATCCTCCTGCCTCGGCCTTCCAGAATGCTAGGATTACAGGCGTGAGCCACTGCGCCCGGCCCTCACATTTTTTCTGTCCTGTCACACAAGAGGGACAGAACAGACCCCCGTTACGCATGGTATCTCACCGCAAGAATGATTCTCCATGGGGGAAGGGTGGCCCACAAACTTCTAGAAGGAGGTTAGCTTTAAAAAGATCACTGGTTATTCTGATGCTGACTGTGCCCTGTGAGCACATGCATGCATATGTGCATGCACATAACTGCTTAAGAAATGCTATTCTTAAAGGAAGATGCTCTCTTCTGAGGCTCCCCAGCACCCAGCCTTCTAGTTAAGGGCAGCTCATCTAACACTGGACACTACTGGCTTGAATCACATTGCTACTATAAGTCCTAGCCAGAGCAGTAGGATAAGACAACCAAAAATTTATAATGATCTCAAAAGAAACCAAAGTGCCATCACTTGCAGATGATAGAAATGTCTACACAGAAAATATGAGAGCAGCAAAGTTGTTGAATTAAAAATCAATATACAAAAATTAACTGTATTCTTATATATTAGCAATAATTAAAAATACAGTATAAAAGTCATTAAAAACAAAAAAATGAGGTACATAGGAATAAATTTAATAACAGATGTATACAACCTTTATGAAGTGAAGTATAAAACTCCATCGAAAGACATTAAAGAGAAAGATAAATGGAAAGAGCCCATATTTATGGAACGGAAGACTCAATATTGGGAAGATGTCAATTCTCTCCAAAAGTACCTACAAGTTCAATGCAATTACAATAATAGTCTTAACAGCCATTCTGAAAAAACCTGACAAGCTGATTCTAAAACGTACATGGAAGAACTTGGCTCAGAAAAGCGAAGTGGATTTTGAAAAAGTTTCTCAGTGGGTGACTTGTTCTATTGGATAATGAGACCTATCCTAAGGCTATCTTAATGAGGGCAGAGCTTCCCAGCATGGACACTAAGAGGCTAATGGGCCAGAGGAGAAAGCCTGGGGACAGGTCTATGGAGGATATGAACACCCAAGACACGCTGTGGGTGGCATTGGACAGTGGGGAAAGGACAGGTAAGGCAATAAATGGTGCCAAACTGGTTATCTATATGGAAAAAAATTAGATCTCTACTTAACACCGTATGCAAACATAAATTCCTGGTGGATTAAAGACTTAAATGTGGAAAGTAACACTGTAAACCTTTGAGGAAAAAAATTACTTTAGACAATCTTTTGATCTCAGTGTTGGAACACATTTCTTAGATATAACACAGAAGTCGTTTCCGGCACTTGTACTCACTAAGCCAATCTGCCCTTTCAGGGAATGAACCAGAGCCACATATATCGAGCTAAAAACATAACATTGGTGGGGAAAATGCAAGTTACAGGAGGATATGTTCAATGAGGTACCATTTTTATAGAGTTTATAACATGTGGCTGCACATGGAGCAAATAAAAATGATAAACCCAAATTGAGAATATTGTTGCCCATGGCCAAAGGAGGGAAATGGCATTGAAGACTGGCACACGGGGCCTTCACCTCCACCAGTAACATTACTTCTTCAATGTTGCGATGAGTGTCAGGGTGCTGTATTATTCCTGAATCTTTTTTGTATGCCATTTTTGTATGCCATTCAGATCTTCCATTTAACAAGGAGCAATAGTGTACTTCCCCAAGCTCCAGCTACACCAGCATGGTGGAATGCAGACAGTCTGGGATTGGGCATCAGAAAATCTACTTCAAATTCCACCTCTTCCATTTACTAGCAAAGAGACCTCACCAGCCCCTGGTTACCTAATGAGGAGCAAATTAGGTGATAATTGCAGCAGCAGAAAAGTGTACTGTCAACTGCAAAGTGTAGGGTCACTATTATTATAAGTGATCCTTTCCAAGGCAGGGAGCCCAGATGACCTCCTGCCCCACCCATCCCTGCTAGGCCAGCTGATGCTGGAGACTGGCCAATAGGACTCCCCTCCCCCGGGTCACTTCAGGCTTTTCTGTGGCATGTGTCACTGGGACACATAGGATACTGGGCTGTGAGGGAGGTGTTTCACCCAGAGGCTAGTGTCCTATAAAGAACCAGGATTTCTAACAATGCAGCAAGCTAAGGCATGGCAAAAATTCACATCATCTCAGGTCAGAGTTATAACATGCTTCCACTGGCTAAAAGTGACCAGTTTGTTTTTCTTTTAAGATATAAGCAAGGTCTGGAAAACAGTGTGGTGGTTCCTCAAGAGGTTAAACATAGAATTACTGTATGATCAGCAATTCCACTTCTGGGTATATCCCCAAAAGAACTGAAAGCAGGAACTGGAACAGATATTTGTACACCATGTTCACAGCAGCATTATTCACAATAGCCAAAAGGTAAAAACAACACAAATGTCCACTGATATGTGTGTGCATGGATAAGCAAAATGTGGTCCATTCATACAATGGAAAGGACAGGAAAGAAATTAGGACACACACTACGACATTGATGAACCCTGAAACATTATGCCCAGTGAAATAAGCCAGACACAAAAGGACAAATACTGTATGATTCCACTTACATGAGGGGCCTCCAATGGTCAAATTCATAGAGGCAGAAAATAGACTGTGGTTGCCAGGGGCTTAGGAGAAGAGTGACTGGGGAGTTGTTTAATGGGTACAGAGGTTCTGTTAGGGAAGAAGAAAAAGTCCTGGAGGTGGATGGTGGTGATGGTTGCACAACACTGTGAATGTACTTAATGCCACTGAACTCTACACTTAAAAATGGTTAGGATGATAAATTTTACGTGATGTATATTTTATCACAATAAAAAACTATAAGCAAATGTCTAAATTTTATAGCTCTTTAACCAAAGACTAATAGCCGTAGGGTCCTCAGATGGGCTATTTGTATACAGTTAGAATATTGTAATTCAAATTGGCTTTGGCGAGCAGATCTTCATGATACTCAGTGACTTCTAGAGCTTCATTTCCAAGATCTTCACAACACTTTAAGAAGCAATCCTGGCTAGACCAGGAAGACTACAAGAAGAACCACAGCCTTCTTGCTCTGAGAAAGGGCCATCAGTGTTCCTGACAGCATTTACTCCAGCTTTCCCCTTACCTGAACCCCAGCCTCTTTGCAAGTTTCAATGACATTCTTGGTGCCAATGTAATTCACTCTATAAAAGAGTTCCTTGTTGTTACTGGCTGGTGGGGGTGATGCACAGTGGAAAACTGTGCTTACGCCTTTCAGAGCTGGGTACAGGTCCTGGAAAAGGAAACAAAGGCAAAATTGTCACTCCTGCTCGGGCGGGTGGACAACCGTCTCACATTCTCACTATCCAGCCTGGGGCTTGCAGGTTTCCTCTCCTTTTATAATTCTACAACCAAGGCCGGGCACAGTGGCTCACGCCTGTAATCCTAGCACTCTGGGAGGCCGAGGCAGGCGGATTGCTCGAGGTCAGGAGCTCAAAACCAGCCTAAGAGCAAGACCCCATCTCTACTATAAAAATAGAAAGAAATTAATTGGCCAACTAATATATATAGAAAAAATTAGCCGGGCATGGTGGCACATGCCTGTAGTCCCAGCTACTCGGGAGGCTGAGGCAGGAGGATCGCTTGAGCCCAGGAGTTTGAGGTTGCTGTGAGCTAGGCTGACGCCACAGCGCTCACTGTAGCCTGGGCAACAAAGTGAGACTCTGTCTCAAAAAAACAAACAAAAAAAACCCAAAACCCACCCCCCCAAATTCTACAACCAACATGCAAACACATTCTTACAAAATATTCAACAATATAGAAGAAGTCTATGGGATAGAAGCCAAATTGTGTCTTTAATTGCCTCCCTCTCCATTAACCAGTCCTCGATCAAAAAGGGTCTGGGGCACAAGAAGCCGATATGATCCAGACAGCAGCAACACCACCCTGGGGTGTTTGGGGTACCTGGGGGTAAAACACCTGGGGAAGGTGAGCGCATAGACAGAAATTATGAATCATATGAAAGTGTTCCACCCCATTATAGACAGTGTAAACAACCAATACACCAGCGTATTCCTTCCTGGGAAACTAGACATGATATGGTAACCTGAAAGGGATCTTCCAATAGGTCTAATTTTTTTTTTTTTTTTTGAGACAGAGTCTCACTTTGTTGTCCAGGCTAGAGTGACTGCTGTGGCATCAGCCTAGCTCACAGCAACCTCAAACTCCTGGGCTCAAGCAATCCTACTGCCTCAGCCTCCCGAGTAGCTGGGACTACAGGCATGCGCCACCATGACTGGCTAACTTTTTCTATATATATCAGTTGGCCAATTAATTTCTTTCTATTTATAGTAGAGACAGGGGTCTCACTCTTGCTTAGGCTGGTTTGGAACTCCTGACCTTGAGGAATCCGCCCTCCTCAGCCTCTTAGAGTGCTAGGATTACAGACATGAACCATCGCACCCGGCCTTTTTTTTTGAGACAGAGTCTTGCTCTGTTGCCTGGGCTAGAGTCCCATGGTGTCAGCCTAGGTCACAGCAACCTCAAACTCCTGGGCTCAAGCGATCCTTCTGCCTTAGCCTCCCGAGTAGCTGGGACTTCACTTCAAGCGTGTGCCACCATGCCGGCTAATTTTTGTGTATATTTTAGTTGTCCAGCTAATTTCTTTTTTTTTTTTTCAGTAAGACAGGGTTGCTCAGGCTGGTCTCGAACTGCTGACCTTTAGCAATTCTCTTGCCTCGGCCTCCTGGAGTGCTAGGATTATAGGCGTGAGCCACCTCTCCCAGACCAATAGGTCTAACTTACTGCTAAAAGGAATCAGAGCTCCTGTGAGAAATGGCTGATTGCAGATCTGGGTCAAAAATACACGGATGGCCAGCAATATCTTGGTGTACCGAAAGTCAGAAAGCCAGCCAAGGCTACCAAGGTCACATTAAAAGGATCAGGGCCAAGCTGAAAAGGCTCCTAGTAGCCAAAGAAGGATAAGACAGTTTGATTCCAGTAAGAATAAAAATTCTGTCCAGGCCGGGCGCGTGGCTCACGCCATGGGGGATTGCTCAAGGTCAGGAGTTCAAACCCACCCTGAGCAAGATCGAGACCCATCTCTACTATAAATAGAAAGAAATTAATTGGCCAACTAATAATACATAAAATATAGCCGGGCATGGGCGCATGCCTGTAGTCCCAGCTACTCAGGAGGCTGAGGCAGAGGATCGCTTGAGCCCAGGAGTTGAGTTGCTGTGAGCTAGGCTGATGCCACGGCACTCACTCTAGCCTGGGCAACAAATCGAGACTCTGTCCCAAAACAAACAAACACACACACACACACACACAAAATTCTTTCCAAAACTGGTAAATAAAGGGAAAGAATCAGGCATTTAATCTGCATAAGGTACAAAGATTTGAGCCACTAAATGAAGAGGAAATGATAGCATGTCACCATTTTGCCAAACCTTAGTCAACAAAGGAAAAACAACCATGAACTATGTGCTTAGATTCACTAATATTTTGTCACAAAGTCCTCTCTCTACGTATACAGAGACACGATTTTTTTTGAAACATTTGAGAAGAAGTCGCAGACATCATGCCGCTTTGCCTCTAACCTCTTCACCAGGCGTCTCCTAAATAACCACAGAACAATGTGTATACCTTGTATAGTTATATACAACTACTAAGTATGAAAACACATTTTTTTTTTTTTTTTTTTTTGAGACAGAGTCTCGCTTTGTTGTCCAGGCTAGAGTGAGTGCCGTGGCGTCAGCCTAGCTCACAGCAACCTCAAACTCCTGGGCTTGAGTGATCCTTCTGCCTCAGCCTCCCAGGTAGCTGGACTACAGGCATGCGCCACCATGCCCGCTAATTTTTTATACATATATCAGTTGGCCAATTAATTCTTTCTATTTATAGTAGAGACGGGTCTCGCTCTTCTCGCTGGTTTTGAACTCCTGACCTTGAGCTATCCGCCCGCCTCGGCCTCCCAAGAGCTAGGATTACAGGCGTGAGCCACAGCGCCCGGCCTGAAAACACATTTTTAAAGTCCTGTCCTTCCACATCTTTCACCCATATCATATCCGAATTTCTCTCCATAAAGTCCTGAGATTCATAATCCATCGCTGTCACTTTGGCTTCGTCCCTCTCTCATCAAATCTGCCTGGTTAAATGCAACTTGCCTCTTCTCCATGGCTGCACCTGAGCAGCTGAGTGTAGCTGGAGAACACCACACCATGCTGGAGTGTCTCCTTTTAAATTCATACTCAAGGAGAGTGGGAAATAATATACTGGCAACAACAGCACGGCAGTTGGGGTAGCATTTTGGAGAGAACTTAAAGCTTGCTAAGGATTCTCATCTCCTTTGAAAGGACAGAGCAGTGGTCAAAAGAGACAAAATCCATGCTTTCATGAGCTTACATTCTACAGTGGAGAGGAGGACAAATAAGTGAATAAACAAGTATGTACAGAGCACGTCAGTGCTGCCAAGGGCCATGCAGAGACATAAAGCAGAGGCATCAGGAAGGGCTTGTTGCTTTGCATAGCATGGTCAGGGACAGGAAGTTAGGGAGCAAGGTCTGTGGTTCTCAAAGAGCATTCTTGGCAAAAAGAGCAAATGCAAAGGTCCTGAGGCAGAAACTTAGTTGGTGGCCAGCGTGCCTGGAGCCAAGCAACGAAGGGGAATGTAGGAGGGAGTGAGGCCAGACAGGTCGTGGGGGCACACCATGCAGGGCCTTGTTGGTGATTATACAGGCCCCTGTTGTTTGCTCTACACAAGACTAGACACCAAGGGATGCTTCTGTACAAGGAGCAGTGTGATCTGATTTATGCATCAGAAGGGCCCCTCTAACATCTAGGCGAGAGGTGATGGTTGCTTGGACCTGAGTAGCAGCAACAATGGAAGGAGTGAGAAGTTTCTGGATTAGGGACCTATTTTGAGAGTGGAGTCAACAAGACTTGCTGGTGGATGGGATGAGCATACGGGAGAGAAAGGAATCAGGGATGAATCTAACACTTTTGGCCAATGCAACTGGAAGACAGAGTAGGTCGTTTGTGGAGATAGAAAAGACTTTAGCAGGAGTAGGTTTGCTGTGGTAGGGGAAGGACTTGTGGTAGGAAACCAGGAGCTCAATTTGGGACATGGCAAGCTTGAAATGTCTGCAGGTATCCAAATAGGGCTGTCCAGCAGGTAGCAGGATACATATAAGGCCAAGGAGCTATGGGTTGGAGATAGGACACTGGGAGCTTGTCAGCTTCTAGACAGTGACTCATCCATGGGATATTTGAGGCCCATGGCCATGAAAAAGGCAAGAGGCATCAGGCTCGTGTGCTCTTCTCCAGCCCTGTTCAGCTGCCCAGAGATGCGCAGGGAAGAGAGAGGACTGGATTTAACCAGGGCTGGGGTCACAATGTGACATACAACGTGATGGGGACTTCTTTGTATTACCCAGGCGAGGATCTAGTGTCCACTCATCCCAGCAAATACCTGTCTAGGCATTGCTGTGGAGGTGTTTTGTAGCTGTGGTTGGCATGTACAACCAGCCAGTTTAAAGTATGGAGATTACCCTTGATAATCTGGATGGGCTGTATCCAATCAGATGAAAGGCCTTAAGAGCAAAACTGAGGTTTCTGTAAGAAGAAATTCTAGGACAGCAGTGTCCACTCCTGCCTGAGTTTCTGGTCTGCCCTACAAATCTCAGACTTACCAAGCCAACCTCCATAATCATGTTAACCAATTCCTTGAATTAAATCCCAGTCTCTCTCTTGTTCTCCCTCTCTCCCTGTCTCTCTGCTCCCTCCTCCATATACCCCCCCTACTGGGTGTTCCTCTAGAGAACCCTGATGGATACATACAATAGAAGAGAAAGGGCAAGGGGTGATGACCGTGCAAGAGAGCAAGTGGCCCCAGAAGCAAATGCAGTGAGGCACAAATGGGGCGATCGAGAGTAAGTGTGGCTGGGTGCCTGGGTGGGGCAGAGAACTGGCGCAGCGCAAGCACTAGAGGGTGTGAGCTGGAAAGACAGCAGATGGCACTCAGAATGGAATGCCTACAACTAAGACGGAGGAGAGGACACATTTACTGGCGATGGTAAGGTGCAGGTCTAGGGAATGACAACAGAGTCCAGGACAAGGTCATCGGGTGAGGTGGCCAGGGCTAAGAGGGGCGGGAGGGTATGTAGGGTCATCTACATGAATGTTGTTGACGAGGCTGACACTGGCCAGGAGATGAAATCAGTAATGAATAAAGTGCAGTCACCCAGGAAGGGGAGCGAGTGGCTGTGGAAGGCTGCCGCGAGGAAGGCTGCT